CTGGACTCTTGTGCTCTGCATTTAATATAGTTTAAGTGTCGTAGATCAGCGTAGTCCATTTTGTCTTCAGCCTCTCGCTCCATTGGGTAATATTATCTTAACACAAGGTAACGGCACAATCTGTCAGTTTCTGTCATAACACAGTGTTTTTGTTGTAACCTCGGCTGGACACCGTTTGCACTGGTTTCTGAGGTTGTGTTACTTTTCTGGCGTTCACAGTTAGCTGACTCTCCATCCGCGCTTTCATCAAAAATAACACAATAACTACAATGATACGACGATGACACTCAACTCTTTGTTAGTGTATGTAAGGTTGTGATTAATAGCAAAGGAAAAGTAAACAAGCCATAATCTTTGTAGGAGCTAATTGGAAGTTTTGCTATTGCTACATAGCTAATGTTAGCATTAACAGCTGTTTACTTACAGGCTAGAAGAAACGTTGTGAGTTCAACATCAAACTTAATTCCTCCAACGGGGGAAAGCAACACCAATGTTAACCTTTGTCTCTTTCTCGCTTTTCTTCTACTTAAGTTAGCATGCTAACAAGCTAGCCCTGGCCCGTCTAGTAAATTTCCGATAGCGACTCACTTTAGCCTCTACCTAATGTACCTAATGTAAACCTAATGTAATCAGTTTCCCTTGAAACTAATTTCACTGAAGACGTTTGATAGCGAGAAACCTGGTCAAATAAGACCAACACATATGTAATATCTGTACAAGTAGAGACCAATAAAGGTAAGTGAGGAAAAAGGGCTTTTGTTTGTTTGTGATTTTGGTGAATTAACCCTGAAACTCCTCCCATACCCGTCGCAGTAACACTTTATTTTATAGGTCTTACAGATCGCAAATATGAAGAATAAAGTTTACAATAATGAATTAATAAAAGAACATTTCCTCGTGTTTATATGGAGCACAATTTCAATTAAATTCCTCCATACAATCAACTAATGGTTACCCATTAGCAGCCTCATAAAATCAACACAATTCCCCTTAAACAGTCTCAGAACTTTGTCTCTATTTTCTCTGTAATTAGTGTCAAACATGTTTCTCTCCAGGAACCCTCCAGAAAATTATTAGAAAATTACTGAGCCGTAAAACCAAATTACCCAAATCACCCAGCTTCCATTGATCCTGCGTTCCTGCGGGTGAAATTATAGATTTCACCAATTTTCAAAATTGCATTGGATTGTGAGGCAGATAATATGTTTACTGTTGCTCGGATGGAAACACGGCTACTGTCACTGGTCAGTGCTGCCAAGACTGACTCATGGAATAAACAACGTTTGCATTTTCCACAACCTCAGCGCCAGTGGGTAATGTAGTTTTTTTTTTTTAAGTGTGTGTTTTTTGTAGTCTTTTAACATGTTATGTTGTCATCCTGCCATCCCTGTAGTCTGCACGGTTCGCTGTCAGAAGTTCCTGATCTCGCGGGTCGGGGAGGACTGGATCTTCCTCATCCTGCTGGGACTCCTCATGGCCCTGGTCAGCTGGGTGGTGGACTTCTGCATCGCCATCTGCCTACAAGGTGAGGACTGGAGGGAGGGAGGGATTGGGATTGGATTTACAGTACAGGCTGAGGCATGGAGAGTGCAGTTATAGAAGGGGGGGGGGGGCAAAGAGGGGATTCAAGAGGCGATTCAAGAGGCAGAAACAGAGAGGAGGAGGAGGTGTACAGGAGGGAAATATGAGCATGTTTAGGATGCACAGAAAAACAGGAAGTGACTGGTTGACTTGGATAGAAAACAAGACTGGTACAAAAAGAAGAGGTTAGAAGGAATAGATCCTGATGAGGAGAGAGGAATAGAGGAATTATGCATTTATTTATAAGGTTTTAACACAAAATGTGTTTCTCCCAAAGTGCTTTATAGTTATTTAACTCTGAAAAGTCCTGTAGAAAAATACAAGAATCAAACATAAAAGGATTATGTTCTGCATATAATTTACAATTTTACACACATAAACAAACACAAACCATTTTATAAAATGTAAAACAACTGAGAGACTTTAGTTTAATTACAAACTACAAATGTTTATGGATGAGGAGTGAATTTAACCAAATAATCCAATCAATTATTTCATTGTTTTTTTTCCCAGATACTCTCTACTTAAAATCTGCTCCTTTGTCAGTGTCATGGATGAACACGTTTCATTGATAAATAAATCTGGAGGATGTTGATTTCAGAGATTTGCGTCAGGAACAATAAAGGCTCAGTCTCCGTTAAACTTTGATTATATTATTAAAAACTGATGAGAGAACTATACCGGTGCGCCAAAGAGGGGTAGATACATTTCATTAAGATTTTGAAGTCACTCTGTATCTAATGGAGATTCACTGCAAAGACAAAGGCGTCTATCTTCTCTTCGGACTTTGGTAAAAGCCTGGCTGTAGGTCGGTGGGTGAGTCAGGGAAGATCTCTCTTTGATTTATACTTTATTTAATCAGGAAGTCACATTGAAACCGAGATTTACAATCGAGATCTGAGTCCAGAAAAGAGAATAAATAACAAAAAGAAACTTTGAGTTATTTAAATATACATCCAGATATGTATTCATATAAACAAGCAGACATATATTTATATAAACAACCATCAGACAATAAGATGGTGGATCATACACTCACAGTGCATTCAGTAACAGTAAAAAACTGAGTATGAAAAGTTTAAAAAAGAGAGATTATGTAAAACAGTCAGTAAGACTTCCTGTAGATAGAAATAAGTGCGTAACTGAATATAATTTTCTTTTTATATCAAAATATCTCAAAGTCTGGTCGGAGCTAAAACCAACGAAAGTTCGATAACAGTTCGTTACAACAGACACATGGTGGTTGATGGTGTATTCACTGTAATTTTGCCTTTCATATTTTATCCCTTGAGATTTGTGCAAAGGGATTTAAAAGTCCTTGGGGTTCAGAGCAGAATCAGATCTTGCAGAACGTTCTTATAAACCACCTGTTGGGCTGGTGATGCTTCAGTTCTGAACCGTGTCAGGTGTTCAAATCTACCAAAGGCCGTTTTAAAAATGTTCTTGCCTTTAGGTGTCAGCAGGATGAAGAGGGTCGCAGCTCTCACAGGTTTATTTTATTCAGCTGGAGAAAAATATGAACTGTCTGACATTTTTAAAACTTTTGAAAACTCTGTTTACCGAGTTTTATCGAGACATCTGCATAACCTTGCGCACAAATGGGATATTTGTGGGTGATCTGGACCCACAGGAGCTTATGAGTAAATAAAGATCGTAGTGAGGATTGAGCCCTGCAGACAACCATTGGAAATTATTGTGGAAGATAAGAACGTGTTGTTGCCTGTGGTGACTGAAAAGTTTCCTTAAGATGAAGGCGAAGGATCGGAGAAGTCAGAGAAACAAGTGAGAGATAAAGGAAGGGATACAGGAAGCAAGAGGTGGAGGGATGGAAGACAGGAAAAGGGATTCGAGGTGGATCAAAGGATGGATGGAAGGTTTCTGACAGCGTCAGCCGTCTACGATCGAGAACGAGGATTTGAAGCTAAGTCTGTGTGTGTGTGTGTGTGTGTGTGTGTGCGCGTGTGCGTGTGCGCGTGTGCGCGTGTGCGTGTGTGTGTTGTGTGTGTGTGTGCAAGGAGAAGACAACCTAGTCTTGTCAGTTTCGGTTATGATGTACAGTTCTTTTAATTGGATACAGAGCATGACTAGTCACCTGTCCCGAAAACACACACACACAAACTCACACACACACACACACACACATACACACACACACGCTTTTCACGTCTTTAAATGTTTTATATGACAGCTCTCATGGATGTGCAGCCCTGCGTGTGCATGCGTGTGTGTCCTCACAACATCTTTACTGTAACACAAACACTCTTTCTTACTGTGTGTATTTTGTGTGTGTGTGTGTGTGTGTGTGTGTGTGTGTGTGTGTGTGTGTGTGTGTGTGTCTGTCCACAGCACAGAAGTGGATGTACGGTGGTCTGGACAGTAACGTGTTCCTGCAGTATCTGGCTTGGGTCACGTACCCCGTCGTCCTCATCACCTTCTCTGCCGGCTTCACCCAGATCCTCGCCCCACAGGCTGTTGGTAAGACACACACACACACACACACACACACACACACACACACACACACACACATAACATAAACATACAGACAAACATCCAACACTTGAGCAGTAAAGACACTTTACAAGGGCAATATAATCATTGTATTGTGTTTATTACATAAGTTGATTTACTGACTTAGAAAATCAGCAGTGAATAAATGAACACCTGATGCATCCATGATGATTCTGACCCACAATGCCACAGTCATGGTCTCTGCAAAATAAAGCAAAGTCTTACATGAAGGGAACTTTAAACTCTTTTTTTTTAGACAACTTATTTATTGCATTTTTAATCCCTTGAATTATCATGAATTTACCATGGAACCATGTGAAACACCTCTGATTGGCCGAAGTCTCCCCTCACAAGCTAGATTTTCTAAAGCCTAGAGGAGGCGCAGACGTCTGGTTTGCTCTCAGACCAGTTCACCACAAATTGGCCTTTTCAGGAGCTTTGAAGTGCAGGAGGTTGTTGGATGAAGTGTGTGTGTTCGTTTTCCCTCCTGCAGGTTCAGGTATCCCAGAGATGAAGACCATCCTGAGGGGAGTGGTGCTGAAGGAATACCTCACCTTCAAAACGTTTGTGGCCAAAGTCATCGGCCTCACCTGCGCTCTGGGCAGCGGCATGCCACTGGGCAAGGAGGTAACACACACACACACACACACACACACACACACAAATCAGCATCGCCCACTCTATACACCCTTTTATGCAGTGTGCATATAGTCTTGAATGGAACTGCTCTACTGAATGGGAAGCTGCACTATGTAACAAACAACACGCCCACACACTGCACAAGCCGACAGCCTCGTCAATCAGTGAGTCAGTCAATACCATGTGAGAGTCAAAATACAGGCTGCTCAAATGAGCGTTGAGCCAAAACCTTGAGGCAAAATTACTTGTATGTGCTTTTGTGCGTGAGCAAATAAACATAAGCTTACCTTTACAGATACATCTCATTGTCACTGACACTTAGGTCAGCAGTGCCGGGAAAGTAAGTTGTTTGGTAACAGAGTTTTCAGTTCACAGCGTCTTTTGTTTGTGAGGAAATGTAGGAAAGAAACTGGCACCAAGCTGCCATCAGCTTACACAACATCAAAAAATAAAACCTTCAGTATCAGAGGAGAATAATGGACGTCTGCAGCTTCAATTCAAGTCATTTCCGTTCATCAAAAACCCATTTTAGGTCAGAGTGAAGTGCAGCAGCATCTGGAGCGCAGGTGTCTGCTCTGAGTCAGGTTTTTCCAGCAGCTCTGTCGTGTCAGAAATCAGTGCACAACTAAAATGCAACAATACGTCAAACTTCACCTCCTTCACAGATCATTCACATTCCCCTTCCCTACGTCCTCACTGCATGAATTACAAATGATCCAAGTATTTAGCGCTGGTACATTTGAGTTCAATACGAATCCACTTTGCACTGCTGCCTGCTGCCTCCAGGAAATAGCCGCACGCCCACATTCTAAGTCTGACACCTACTCGCCTTTTAACCGAGATAACTGTCAAACTAAGTCATGTGAATTAAGCATCGCAGCCATAAATAGTGTTAAAAACTCACTTGAGTACTGTGTTAAAGTTTAGCTTTAAGTAGTGCAGGTAGTGAGTGACGGTTCGCTTCTACACACTCGTATAAACCCAAACAAACTCGCCTGATCTCCACAGTTTGTGTACACGATGAAAACTGGAAAACTTAAACTTAAAAAATACATTTAAAATACTCTACACATGTGGACTTTGTAGTAGTGTAATGTTTTTTTTGTTTTATTTAACCTGCCTATAGGGACCACGGATGTAAATTAGCATTTCTGGTGCAATCCGCCATGTGCATTTTAATTTTGTGTATTTTCTACTGCTGTTCAGTAACATCTCTATCAAATAAACAAATGAATCAAATAGATGAATTCAGAGCTCCACATCCAGCATATACTCAGGAAGAATAACACTCGAACGTCCTGGTGGTAAATAACACACAATGTGCCGACGTGTTCGGGTTCAGGTCGAGAAGAGAACAACAAAAACAGGAGAGAAGGAAGGTGCAGCGTTGACTCGGGACATTTTCTAAACCCAAAGGGAGGTAGAGGAATGTTTTTCTGGAGATTGTGGAATCCCCAAATTCACCACGCAGATGTTGTTTATGTCTTGTACACACACACACACACACACACACACACACACACACACACACACACACACACACACACACACACCAGTTTGTGTATAATGTTGTGTACAGTCTTTTAGCAAAAAACTGTTTTCAGGTAAGTATGGCATCCCCCAAAAGACTGCCAAGCCTGAAGACATATTAACACACACACATACACACACACACGCACGCACACATACACAAACGCACACACACACCTACGGACACACTCAAGCCTCAGGCCCTCTCGGTTGTGTTGTGCATCCAACAGCCTGGATTCACTTCCTTCGACTTGCGCATCACTCCTCCGACTCCCTCTCACTTTTAATCCTTTTAGTTCCACTTTGAACTTCATCCCCTTGAATTTTAATGTTCAGACTTTGTTGTTGTTGATGTGTTTTTATGCGCTGTCTTCTGTGACGCACAACAAACACGGAGGCAGAGTGCTTCTTAACTCGTAATGTTCGCACCTGTAGTATTTCATGTCTTTTTCTTTTCTTCTTCTTCCTCCTGTCAGGGTCCGTTCGTGCACATCGCCAGTTTGTGTGCAGCTCTCCTCAGCAAGTTCATGTCTCTGTTCGGAGGAATTTATGAGGTAAATACTGTTTTTTTTTTCTTTTCTTTTCTTCCTTTCAAGTTTTCTCTCAGTCGTTCTTCATTTTACACACAACTGCTGCCTCGATGTCACTGCCTTTTACTGGCAAAACTTTTTAAATTAAAACATCTATTATTCATTTATTCTCGTTATGATTATTTTTCATATACACCGAACACGCCATCCACCACATCCGTTTTTTTTAAGAAAGCGTTTCAACCCTCAAGCTTCCTGCTCCGTCTCCTTCACCTCCTTCAAAATCCTGTTTTCTGAGCCGCCTTCTGTTATTGCTGTGCCTTCGAAGTAATGAGCTTAACAAGCAGCAGCGAGCGCGTGCCAAACTTTTTCACCCCGGGTTTTGCCTGTCAGGTTGTCTACAGGCCCCCCCCCCCTCTTGTAATATTTTTATTATCAACAGTTGATATTCTCCTAAAAAGATGCTCGAATTGAACATCAATACAAGATTATCAATCATAAAGTACCAGATATCTGCATTAACAATACAGAGGTTCCTTTGCTTTTGGTAACACTTCAGATTGTTGCCCTGGTAACATAGAGCAACACTTTACAGTATGTTTGTTTTTTCTCTTTTTTAGTTGCTTCAATATGACTTACTTATGCCCCAATCTTTAAAACCAATCTAGGGTTAATTGCAAACAGCTGTTTTAGTGACAATATGAAGCCGGAAAAAAAATGAAAGATTCGGGCAAAAGAGAGGGATTGTGGGCGGAGATGAAGCGGGATTAAAAAAAACAGATGAACGTATGAAGGAAGGTTGTGGCAAAATGGCCCGTTCAACAGACTGACACTTGCTCACAGCGCCTCCTCCCACAAGTCACACTGACGCCTTTTCATCTCCCTCTCCCCGCTGCGCTCGCGTGCGTTGCAGCCCGCAGCGCGTGAGGATTAGTTTTGTACGGATGGATGTGGCTTGTGCTTTCTAATATCAGAGCGTCTTCGGTTAGAGGAGCGAGAGTGACACCTGTCCCAAGATTCAAAATCGCTTCGAAAGTATGAAGGGAGGTTTCACATACGGAAGAAGTTGATGCTTTTTTCTTTTCTTTTCTTTTTTTTTATTATTTGTGATTTTGATCTTCAGAAACTGAGCAGCCGGTGATGTCTTCAGGCAGTGCTCACACACACACGGGGGGGGGGGGTTAAATAAAACAAAAGTTAAGACAGGCACGAAATGCAAATTTTTCTTATTTTTCCCCAGGAATCAATTTCTTTCATCCCATGTAAAGTCAACAGCCTGTAATACCCCCAATTTATAAATGTTTTATCAGTCTGCTATTTGTCAACAAATTACATCTTTTTCATCTTCAAAACTAACTTTTCTCAGAGAGACGCAGTGAAGGAGATGAGAGTTTCAGTTGGGGGTGAAGAGGGGGGGGTGGAAAAGATGCAGATTGAAGGCAAAGTCATTTTCTTCTTCAACATCTCCTCGTTCCTTCTCCTCCTTTTTTTTTTTCCCCCTTTTTCTTCCTCTCCATCTTTTCCATCCTCTGGGAGAGAGGAGTCCGGGAGCTGGAAGGAAAGCAGAGAGACTCTCATCCTTCTCTTTTCTGAAGATGTGAGCACCTCTCTTGGGGTGATGACATGGAGGGAAGAAGACGGGGCGGTTTGAAGAGAGTACAGAGGGGCAGTGTGACTGAACGAAGGGTTGGAGTCAAAGCCGCAGTATGGCCTCGAGCTGAAGGAGGAGGACGTGTTATGTATGAGCTGCAGTGGGAAACCAGAACCTTTTATGTAAAGGTGATTTAGTGGATCAGCTGAAGTGGCCAGAAACAGAAACCGTCTCAAACATGTTGTTAATGTTATAAAGTGCGGACATGTGATGATTGTAGTGTAGACTTCAAAATCTCAAAAATAAACCCCATAACAATGCGGAAAAATAACGGTGAGAGAGTGAAATCTTCCTCGACTTCGTCAGTAGTAAACAGAGTTTACATGTTGACTTCCTGTTGAAAACAGTGAATATCCATGTTTGCATTTCACTCATACCAGTATAATTTAAATTTTTTAAAGACAAACCTCTGTCAACACTTTCTTTCTCTTCATCTCCTCCATTATTCTCTTGCAATAATCGTCATCACTGTCTCCTAGTAACCCTCTGTTAACCTTTCCTGCGCCCCCCCCCCCCAGAGTGTAGTGCTGAGTATTGATGCTGAGAGTGTGTGTGTGTGTGTGTGTGTGTGTGTGTGTGTGTGTGTGTGTGTGTGTGTGTGGAGCGTCCCTCTGCAGCAGTAGCTCGTCCTCTCCACAGTTTGAAGTACAGTATGCTAATGTCGCCTGTGGGCTGTAAGAACCAGCTTTTTGTTTCAGCGTGCTTTCAGAGAGTGTGCTGTACTACTAAAAAAAGACGAGGGGGGACGAGTGCTACACACACACACACACACACACACACACTGTGAATGCCATAATTTGAAGAGGGCTCTTACTGGATCAGATGTAATTGAAAAGGATGTTCTTTTTTTTATCAGAACTATGAATGTGAAGTAAATTCTGCTGCTAAAACTCTGCTTTGTTAATGAAGTAGAACCGACTGATTGAAAATGAGGTTGATCTTTGTTAAATCGTCCTCACTTGGTGGCGTTCATCCGTCCTTATTAGCTTAATGTTGTTTCTTACTCCCATGCTACCTGAAGGAGCCTGGTCTTGTAGGGATTAAGGTAATTCAATCGCATGATTCCCTGCATGCTCTGCAGTCTGTGTCCTTTTCTTTCCCACTCCTGAGGTCAAGCTGATCCACTCTGCAAAATGTTACATATTTATTGTGTTGTCCAGTCTCAGAAACATGTTTTTCAACCTTTAAAATAAAATATTCCCCTATTCTTTTCCCTTAAAATCATCTGTCAGACACTATCATATGTATATATATATATTTATATATCACCTTGTTCTAAACCCAACAATATTTGGATCCTATGTTTTTATGACTCCCAGATTTTTATATTCTTGTGCATCATTTTCTGAACATTTCCCTAAAAAACAGCCCGACTTAACGTGTCTCTGGAAACTCTGGGATCTCCTCCAGAATCTTAAAACTGCCAAAAGTGTGAACAGATGTGTTCCTATGTGGCACATACAATATGAATGATATAAGAAAAACATTTACCAGGTTTCTGGTTCAGAATTTTCTCTCCTGCGCAAATGATTTCATGAGAGGTCCAGACCTGTTACAAAGCAAGAAAAAAAATTAAAACGGACACTACCGTGACTCGGTATCGGAAAATTGGCGAGACAGTCCAACCAGGCTGGAGCTAGCTGGTTAGCATGTTAACTTCAGTAGGGGAAAAGAAGTGATAGAAATAGAAGCAAAACAAGAGGGTTGCTTTCCACCACTGGAGACAGCTGTTGATGAGTAAAGGAATGAAGTTTGATGCTGAACTCGCAACTTTTCTTCTTGACTGATAAGCTATGCTAATGTTGGCTATGTAGCATTAGCAAAACTTACAAATAGTTTCTTTAAATTATACTGTACATTAGCCACTTAACTTGATACATACTTGAGAGTTGGTGCGTGTTGTGATATTTGCAATATCATTAGCATAACAAACTAGAACAGACTAGAAACGTTAGTTAGCCAGCGTTAGTGCTGCTTATCGGTTGGCCAATGTTGGAAGTGTAGCAAGAGCAGAACTTACAAAGAGCTAATTTAAATTGAATATGTTTATATACATTGGTCATTTTAGCTTGATACGTACTTGTGAGTAGGTCCATGTTTTGATATTTGCAATATCATTAGCATAACAAACTAGAAAACACTAAAAACGTTAGTTAGCAAGCGTTAGCGTTGCTTAACAGCTAATGTTGGCTATGTAGCAATAGCAAAACTTACATATAGCTCCTTTAAGAGAGTCCAATTTGAGACAGTTGTACATAAAAAGTTAAGAAAGGTTTAGGATAATAATATAAAAATATTATTGCATGAAGCTCAGTGTTTGAGTCCTTAATAGTTTTATGATTCTAACAACAAGGGTGAGTGTCAGAATAAACTCTAAGAAACATATTTCATGGAAAACATTGATTTGAACTTTGAAGAAGCAGAAATATTCCAACCAAGTGAGAGTTTTAAAATATTTATTAAAGATGAAGATGTTTTGCAGTGTAAGCTGTATTTGCAAAATGTTTCTTGACCACTTCCTTTCATTATTCTGTGTGGCCATCTGAGTGCGTGTGTGTGTGTGTGTGTGTGTGTTTGTGTGTGTGTGTGTGTGTGTGTGTGTGTGTGTGTGTGTGTTTGTGTGTGTGTGTGTGTGTGTGTGTGTGTGCGTGTGTGTTTGTGTGTGTGTGTGTGTGTGTGTGTGTGTGTGTAAGCTGCAGTACAGCATGCTACTCAGAGTTTCACACTGTAAGTCCAGGATAAGCCACTGAGTGTAAAGTTAAAAGGGAAACACACACACACACACCCACACACACGTACACACACATACACACTAACCTCGCTTTATCACTGCCATGCTGCTTGAAGGAAGCCAGTCTCATAGGAATGAAGGTAAGTCCTGTAAGATCCGTCCTGTCAGAAAAAAAAAAACCCACCTTCATTTCCCATGATGCACTGTGACCCTCTGCCCTCCAGTCATGCAGCGCAGTCTTTTCATTTGTCTTACTGTGTGTTACGCTGCAACTCGTCATCTGACAAGCTGTATGAACTGTTACCAACGTTATTTTAATGCAGCAAGCTTTTTTCTTTTTTTGGTTTTTACTCGTCAGCTTCTGCTTCTGATCCCACTTGTTTATTTGTTTTCTGGGTTTGACACTTAAATGGTTTGATGTGTAAACCCGTATGTATGTGTGTGTGTGTGTGTGTGTGTGTGTGTGTGTGTGTGTGTTTCAGAATGAGTCGAGGAACATTGAGATGCTGGCAGCAGCCTGTGCTGTGGGAGTGGGCTGCTGTTTTGCTGCCCCCATAGGAGGTGAGACTCCAGAATATAAATAAGAATAAAACATATTGTAATAAAAACTTATCGTGTTAAACTTATTTGGGATCCTGTATATCTGTTCGTGTGCGTGTGTTTCCAGGAGTGCTGTTCAGTATTGAAGTAACGTCCACATTCTTCGCGGTGAGGAACTACTGGAGAGGTTTCTTCGCTGCTACCTTCAGTGCCTTCATCTTCAGAGTGCTGGCTGTTTGGAACAGAGACGAAGGTAACAGCGACATGTGGACGGTTTACAGCGCTGTGCTGCGTCTTTGTCTGTGTCTGGTTTATGCTACTTTCTTGATTTGCAACATAAAAAATTCAAATTAACAAAGATTCTTCAAACCTTCATAGATGAAAGTTTAACGACCAAGTTGTTATTGAGTGAAGTGAATAAAAATGCCTCGGAACATTTGTTGCTATAGGTTCTAAATTACTTTTAAAGTACGCTCAAAAGTGTGGAAATTGTGTTCAATAGTTCAATATAAAGATGATTTTTCTGACTATTTGCGAACAAAACAAACTGTTTAAGCTGTAAAACAAGAAATAACAGCAAGGTCAAACTTATCAGAGGCCAACAGGATTAATTATTATTGATTATAGATCTATATGAAGAAATGAAAGGACCAGTGTGAAGGATTTAGGAGGATCTATTGCCAGAAATTAAATCTAATCTTCATAATTATGTTTCCATTAGTGTATAATCACTGTATCAGTGTATAATCATCATCACTATAAAGATGGAGATGTAAAGTAACTTAGTGATGCGTTTAACGAATCTTAATGGTGAAAATAAAAGATGATGAAGGTGAAATTGGTTTTCCAGATGTGCTCCGTTTATAGCCGCACATCTGTCTCCTAAAGCTCACAGAGAAAAATCGAACGGCTGCTTCAGGACTTCCTGTGCTCTTTCACAACATCTTCTCCATCCCCCTGTTCACGAACACTGTGGTCCGTCTGTGTAAGGTTAGGAGGTCTGGTCAGAAACCTCCACAATGAGCTGAACTTTTTTGAACTTTCCTTCCATTAAGGACAGAACCTGAACTTCTGCAACACGGGTACGGCGCCCTGCATCTGTCTGCATCTGTCTGCATCTGTCTGCATCTGTCTGCATCTGTCTGCATCTCTTGCATGATACTGATGATTGTTTTGACAGTAGTTTCCTCCTCCTTTCCTCCAGAAACCATCACAGCTCTGTTCAAAACCCGATTCCGACTCGACTTTCCCTTTGACCTCCAGGAGCTTCCTGCCTTCGCTGTCATTGGGTAAGTTTTGACTTGTGATTGGTCAATTTATGATTTCATAACCAGAAAAATCAGTGGTTGGTTTGACACAAAAGTCTGCAGAAACAAATAGATTCAAACATTGTGACTCATTGTTTACATCCGTCCGGTTGTTCTGACAGGTTTCCCCACTTACTGTCACTGCAGCACAAATTCACGTTACCGAGGCGCTGCTCTCGCTGTAGCTTTGCGAAGGTGTTACTTCAGGGTACCCAGCGTGAGTCACCTTACATGGATAATTCAGTCTGCAACAGTTGCTGGCGCACTGAGGGATGTCTTATTTTATCCTGCCGTCGCCCGAGGGCTCCTCCTCGGCTGTGAATGAGACCACATGCTCCCTAGAAGGAAGCTGGTGGAGAGGCGGGAGGGGTGCTCTCCCTCCCTGCCTCACCCTCTCTCCCTGATGAAAGTACATGCCTGAGTGTAACTGTGCGTAGGCTCCACAAGAGAAGAAAATCCCTCTCGTCTTCATCTTCTTTCTTCTCTTTTGTTCTTCCATCTTTTGGCTGTTTTCCTTTCGTCCGGAGGTGTTAACACCCACTGCTGCATCACCGACTTGCACATACAGTACATTTAACGCTGCCTCCAGAGCAGGCGGCGGAGCGCTTAGCCTCGGATTTACTGTGCTACTGTGTACGTGTGCATAGGCATGTTTGTGTGTGTCTGTGTGTGTGTGTGTGTGTGTGTGTCTGTGTGTGTGTCTGTGTGTGTGTGTGTAGTTCCCATCTTCCCCTGCCAATAGCTGTCAAGCGGGGAAAGTCGGTCAGTGTCTCAGTCAACTAGGCCAGAAAGAGTTAGTTCTGTGTTACATGCTGCCAAGAGCACGTCTTTGAAGAGTCACACACTGCTCTCCTCCGTGTTTACACCTGCAGGCGTTAGAGATGAGAATCACTGGGACGAGAGGAGGCTGAGGTACGACCTGATTCCTGCACACAAAAACACAGAAACACACGTGCAAATACATGCGGCACAGTGAAAATCTTCATCACATCACACCTTCAGGCAGATTTTTATATGGTTGTTGCAACAGATGTATTTCAAGGTTTTAAAAAAGACTGGACTGAAAGATTCTCTGATTTAGATTCGCTGTTACTCAAATGAATCAGACTCTGTGCGCGGTGGATGGGTGGAATAGTGTGAAACCGTCAGCAGGAACATGTTCGTGTTTGTGGCGTGTTAGAGCAGCAGGTAGAAACACGACGGGGAACCGCTCTGTAAGATGCTGCTCCATGAGTGGTCAAAAACATTCAAGGATAAGGCTGGTGATGAACCAACAATGCGTCAGTCTTCTTCTCAAGGAAAACCCTGGGGAGAGGGGCGAACCGACCTCGGGTAAACGTCAGAAAATAATTGATAATTTCCTAAAACAACTGGACGTTGTTATTTTAATTTAAACTTAAGTTTGTGCTCTGGTGAGTATTTGCGGCAGCAGGATTGTGTGTGTGGGATCCACTCAGAACAAACTGATGATGATGATGATGTTATTAATAGTTTCTGGACAACAGCGGGGAGGAATAAGAATATCAGGCTGTTGGAAACGCACCGTACTCGTTAGTCATTCTTGGTTTGGGTCTGTTTTTATCGGATTTGTTGACAAGAAAAATTGAATTTGCCTACGTTTAGTTCTCGATAGTGAGGGTTGTCTGTTGACAGCACAGAAAGAGTCTGCCTGGACATTATTGATATGCACATAAACATCACACAGCTTCTTCTCAGAGTCATGACTCACTATCATCATACACACATCGTTACAATCAGTCTTTACGACGGTGTCAGGATCTCCCGTCGTCATCAAGGACGTGAGGTTCAGATAAAATGTTGTATTATTTTGTTTGCAGTTAAACACTTAGATATAAAGTATGTTTGAGGAGTGTAAGTGGCAGTAGATGATTAAATGCAGAAAATAAAACGGATTAGACCATTTCTAACCACTATCTACTGTATATACCTGTAAGCCACGCCCACTCAGTACAGAGAGGAACGCAGATATTTTTGCACAGCACAGATTTATTTTTTATTTCTTTCATTTATTAATTCACCTGATTTATTTTCCCGTGCTGAAGCGAATAAGTAATGGATCATAAAAAGTCAATCAGTTGCAGCTCTCCTGCTGGTCGTACCTCACCCACCTGTTCCTCAGCACCTCTGGGCTAGCTACCTCCACCTGGCCGTACCTGTAACCCTGCGTGACCTCAAACAGTCAAACACCCTGACCCCAAATCCTGATCTCAAACCCCCCCCTCAGAGGAAAAAAGGACATTTGATCCCGAACACAAAAAGAGACACGTGCAGTGTTTTCCTCAGCCGCGCCACGAGGGCAAAGACTCCCTCATCATCCCGTTCATCATTTATTCAGAGGTATTTGATGGAATTAATAATGCAGCGAGATAAATTTATAAGCATTAGCTTGTCTGCGTAGCTGTCTGAGTCTATTCTTTCTCTCGCTCTGTCCTCTTTCTTTTCTTCCCGCTGCCATGAAGAGGACTCCCACTGAGCTTTTAAATGCATGCTTATGTAAACCTCCTTTTCTGCTTTATCTCCCACTCCCCCACACATCCCCATCTGACTGTATGCTCTCTCTCTCTATCTCCCTCTCTCTCTCTCTCTCTCTCTTTTTCCTTCCAATGTTTGTCAATGTTTTTCCCTCCTCTGTATCGACAGCATATTCCTCCTACGTGTTTTTTTTTCCATCTCTCCTCTCTCCTCCTTCCTCGTCCTCACTTTCTCTCCGTCCTGTGTGAGTCTCTGGATGTTTATTTCCCCCTGGCGTTGACGTACGTCTCGTGCAGTACGTGGATTATATCCTGCTGTACGTTACGGTTCAACCGCATTACATCTGCACCTTCCACTGACGTCCGCCTCCAGCCTGTCGGAGACTCATTACATTTGCATTGTTTTTTTTGTTTGTTTTTTACTGTGGCCGTGTGCAGAGGGGAGGAACCTGTGGAGGTGGATTGAGAGGGAAAATGTTTTTAATTGATGCTTTGATTTGTTTATACTTAAACTAATTTATTCCATCCAGGTTCAGTTTGACCGCACATTCGTCTTTTTATGCCAAAGCCCAACTCCTTCTAATGTGTGTGTGTGTGTGTGTGTGTGTCTGTCTCTCTCTGCAGTATTGCCAGTGGTTTTGGTGGAGCTTTGTTTGTTTACCTGAACCGACTCATTGTGCAGTTCATCAGGAAACAGAAGGCCATCAACAAATTCCTCATGAAGAAGTACGTGGAGCTTTTAAATGCAGTGTTGACATGAATATTCCAGTTAAATATTCTTCTGTTTACTGACAAAACTCGTGTCTTTTTAAATTAAATCCAGGCATTTCACTTGCGAAGCAGTAATTTTACATCTAACACACTGATGTGATGTGTTTACTCCGCCACTCAGATTTGCAATTATTTTGATTATCAATTAATTGTTTGTTGTCATTTTTTTTAAGGATTTTCTGCTTTCAGTGTGGCGGTTCTGTATTTGAACACCGCAGCTGTCTTCGCTGATGCTCGTTTGTAGTATTTATTTATTTTTCTTGCAACTAATCAACTGCAGAGAAGACAATCTGCTTCCTGTTTACACCGGCTCGTACATGTCCAGTGCACGTACCTGCACCTGCACCTGCACCTGCCTGTGGCTAAAAATGAAAACGTCGTAGCGTGGACGTAGCCTTCGCGCCTGACATTTTCTGTGTCGACAAACATCAAGAAAAGAGTGACTCTAAAACTTTATCAGGATTTTCGTCTCAGTTCATTCATGGAGTCAACTCAGAATTACAGCAAATGTTTGAGGTGACTTTGTTGGATCCGTGCTGCCTCCAGCAGAACCGTCTTTGTTTGCTTCTGATTCTATAACACGTCACAACATCAGGAAAAGTGACCGACCGAGGTGTTTACAAGATGTTTTTCCATTTAAGAGTGTATTTTAACGTGTTGGTATAAAGGAGATCACGTGTACCTGCTGTGCTCTGCCACAACGATAGCTGTTATCCAGTATAAAGGAAGTTGCCTCATATAAATAAAGTCACACCATGATGATCAGCTGTAAGTTCACATGGTTTGTTGCATGTTATATAATAAGACGCACTCACACACAAACACACAGAGTGAAAAAATGCCACTGTTTGTCCATCAGTGTGAAACCTTGTTGCCGTGACATTAATAATGAAAGCGGTAACGACCGCTGTGTTAATTCCCTCATTCACACACTCTGGACACTTCAGCTGATTTCACGTATTGATGTCGACTGAATCAGCAGCATTAATTTCTCCCTCTCTCTCTCTCCCTCTCTCTCTCTCTCTCTCTCCCTCTCGCTCTCTCTCTGTCTCCCTCTCTCCCTCTCTCTCTCTCTCTGTCTCCCTCTCTCTCCCTCTCTCTCCCTCTCTCTCTCTCCCTCTCTCTCTCTCTGTCTCCCTCTCTCTCCCTCTCTCTCTCTCCCTCTCTCTCCCTCTCTCTCTCTCTGTCTCCCTCTCTCTCCCTCTCTCTCTCTCCCT